CCACGGTGGTGAAGACGGTGCAGCAGAAGAACATGGAGCTGGTGAAGATCCATCTCTTTGGGTTCTGGAGCCAAACAGACTGAAAATCTGTGTCCATCTTCTTCCGAACCTCGGCCACCACGTCCTCCTCCGACCACGATGCGTTCACTGCACACACGGCGGGGGGCGGGGTCAGAGCGGGGGCGGGGTCAGAGCGGGGGGCGGGGTCAGAGCAGGGGGCGGGGTCAAAACCAGGTCCAACATGTTCAGAAAAAAACTTATTGTGTTATTGTCGAATGACGTTAATTAAACTTTAAACGTCACTACGAAGTTTTAGCGACATTCACGAGTTCACGCACGTTTACAGCGTTCTGTGTTTTTGCGTCGCGTCTTCAGGCGTCGGCGCGGCGAGAATCTGTCGTCGATGTGTCTCGTTTTGAGCTTTTAGGCGTCTACGCTCTGGACGGGCGTCAACCAATCAGAGACGAGTATCCAGAGACGTTATTAACCAGAAGAAAGAGAAAAACCCAGAACACGAAACTCTACGGCGACATTAGCGGAGAATAAATATAAACACCCCGCCGCCGTTTGCCGCTGCCGCCGCCATTCGCCGCCGCCGCCGCCGCCGCCGCCGCCGCCGCCGCCGCCGCCGCCGCCGCCGCCGTTCACCTTCAAGATGAATTTAAGTAAGAAAATAAATGTTGTATGTGTTTTGTGTAATAAATGTGTTTTATGTGATAAAAGTCGCTCTGTCTCCGCGGCGACGCTCCGGACGGACGTGTTTTGGACGTGACTTTTTGTCCGTTGGCCCGCGGCGCCGAGACTCACCGCCACCGCGGCGTCTGAATCAAACACCAAAGCTCCACCTACAGTCGCAGACGGAGCGGTGCCTCCCGTTAGCATCGCGTCCTCACAGAACTCAGAACGGAGCCGTAAAGTGTCGGAGGTGTAAAACAGAACATGCTCCTCACAGAGTCCGGACCTGAGCGGTTCTGGACGGTCCGGACCAGGTCTCGGAGGAAGTTCTGGTACTGGGGCTCGGTCGGGTTGGACTCGGCTCTTCCTTCGATGAGCCAGAAGACGACGGCTCCCAGCGCCGCGTACAGAACCAGGGACAGGACCAGGACCAGGTGAGGGACCAACCGCCAGACCCGCCGGGACCGGGCCAGAGACGGGACCCCCCCAGAACCACACCCACACAGGGGACCGGACCCGGGGCCCGACCCGGGGCTAGAACAGGGACTAGACTTGGGACTACACCAAGACTTGGGCCAATAAGAGTGATCTGAAGACACGGGGGAGGACATCAGGACTAAACCAGGACTAAACCAGGACTAAATCAGGACTAAATCAGGACTAAATCAGGACTAAATCAGGACTAAACCAGGACTAAAGCAGGACTAAAAGGACTAAACCAGGACTAAACCAGGACTAAATCAGGACTAAATCAGGACTAAATCAGGACTAAAGCAGGACTAAACCAGGACTAAACCAGGACTAAATCAGGACTAAATCAGGACTAAACCAGGACTAAATCAGGACTAAATCAGGACTAAACTCAGGACTAAAGCAGGACTAAAGCAGGACTAAAGCAGGACTAAAGCAGGACTAAACCAGGACTAAACCAGGACTAAACCAGGACTAAATCAGGACTAAAGCAGGACTAAACAGGACTAAATCAGGACTAAACCAGGACTAAATCAGGACTAAAGCAGGACTTAACCAGGACTAAACCAGGACTAAACCAGGACTAAACCAGAACTAAAGCAGAACTAAATCAGGACTAAACCAGGACTAAAGCAGAACTAAAGCAGACTAAACCAGGACTAAACCAGGACTAAACCAGGACTAAACCAGAACTAAAGCAGAACTAAAGCAGAACTAAACCAGGACTAAATCAGGTCTAAACCAGGACTAAAGCAGAACTAAAGCAGAACTAAACCAGGACTAAACCAGGACTAGTCCAGGACTAAACCAGAACTAAACCAGGACTAAACTCATTTCTTGTTGATTTGGTTCCTTTTTTTAAAATCACTTCTACAAAAGAAGAAGAAAAAAAAAGAAAACGTAAAAAATTGAAGAAGTGAAATGTGTCGTCGTAAAATCCAGCTGGAGTCTCTTAAATCCTCATTGGTCCATTTTTAAATCCCAGATCTGAGTCGGGATCCTGGTCTGGTCCTGAACCGGGTCTGAGTCTGTGAGGTGTGTCCCTGTCCTCCGCTCACTCCCTCACTCCCTCTCTCCCTCTCTCCCCTCTCCCTCTCTCCTCACTCACTCCTCCCATCTCTCCTCCTCTCTGGTTTAGTCCTGGTGTAGTCCTGGTGTAGTTCTGGTTTAGTCCTGGTTTAGTCCTGGTTTAGTCCTGGTTTAGTCCTGGTTTAGACCTGGTTTAGTCTCAAGAGATTTGAGTCTATTAGTCTGAGTGAAGTCCATCAGCAAAACCACAGGAAGCACTAAAGGTCTAAACCAGGTCTAAACCAGGACTAAACCAGGACTAAACCAGGACTGAACCAGGACTAAACTGAGGTGTGTCTCTGTGGGGTTGGGGGGTGATGGGGTGAGGAGAGAGGGGGAGGAGGGGGGGAGGGGAGGGGTCTGTGCTCTGGAGGGGGGGTTGGCTGGTGAGAGAGCAGGAGGTTTGTGGTTCTGATCTAAATATAAAAGTTTCACCTGTCGCCCTGAAACAAACCAGACACAAGAGAAAAGAGAAAAGAGAGAGAGAGAGAGGGCAGACAGGTACAGTGCAGCAGGGGCAGGCAGGTGCAGGCAGGTGCAGACAGGTGGCAGCAGGCAGGTGCAGACAGGTGCAGACAGGTGCAGGCAGGTGCAGGCAGGTGCAGGCAGCAGCAGCAGGTGCAGCAGGTGCAGGCAGGTGCAGGCAGGTGCAGGCAGGTGCAGGCAGGGTGCAGGTGCACAGGTGCAGCAGGTGCAGACAGGTGCAGACAGTGCAGCAGACAGGTGCAGGCAGGTGCAGGCAGGTGCAGGCAGGTGCAGGCAGGTGCAGGCAGGGTGTTCTCCTGCAGAAGAGCACTCGCCCTCTGACCACAGAGACCAACAACAAAAAACTGAAATCAGACAAAAACTTATTAACTTACTATAAATTTAGTCCTGGTTCAGTCCTGGTTTAGTCCTGGTTTAGTCCTGGTTTAGTCCTGGTTTAGACCTGGTTTAGTCCTGGTTCCTGGTTTAGTCCTGGTTTAGAGTCCTGGTCCTGGTTTAGTCCTGGTTTAGTTTAGTCCTGGTTTAGACCTGGTTTAGTCCTGGTTTAGTCCTGGTTTAGACCTGGTTTTACCTGGTTTAGTCCTGGTTTAGTCCTGGTTTAAGACCTGGTTTAGTCCTGGTTTTAGTCCTGGTTTAGACCTGTTTAGTGGTTTAGTTTAGACCTGGTTTAGTTTTAGTCCGTTTTCCTGGTTAGTTGTCCGTTTCCTGGTTACCTGGTCCTGGTTAGTTCTGGACCCTAGTGGGATTTCTTGTCCAGGTCACCTCGGTTTAGTGTCTGGTCTGTTCCGAACCTCCAGCTGAACTCCTGGTCTCCGTCTTGGTCCTTGGACCCGGTCTCTTGTCCTGGACCCTGGTGTTGGTCTGGTACATTACCCATGTGTGCCTGGAGCAGGACTGACCATGATTAGGGACCATGAGCCTGGGCATTACCATTATCGATCTGTGTTGGATCTCAGGATCTGGACCAGGACCACACCAGGACACCAGGTCCACCAGGTGGACAGACCCGACACCAGGTCCACCAGGTCCACCAGGTCCAGATGGAGCAGGGTGGTGGAGTCTGTCCCAACGTGTTTCACCTTTAACCTTTATTTAACATTTGTCCAATTTAACAAAATTTGTCACAAAACCACTGTTAAAAACCAGGACTAAACCAGACTAAAACCAGGACTAAACTAAACCAGGACTAAACCAGGACTAAACCAGGACTAAACCAGGTCTAAACCAGGACTAAACCAAACCAGGACTAAACCAGGACTAAACCAGGACTAAACCAGGACTAAACCAGGACTAAACCAGGACTAAACCAGGTCTGAACCAGGACTAAACCAGGACTAAACCAGGACTAAACCAGGACTAAAACCAGGACTAAACCAGGACTAAAACCAGGACTAAACCAGGACTAAACCAGGACTAAACCAGACTAAACCAGGACTAAACCAGGACTAAACCAGGACTAAACCAGGACTAAACCAGGACTAACTAAACCAGGACTAAACCAGGACTAAACCAGGACTAAACCAGACTAAACCAGGTCTGAACCAGGACTAAACCAGGACTAAACCAGGACTAAACTGAACCAGGACTAAACCAGGACTAAACCAGGACTAAACCAGGACTAAACCAGGACTAAACCAGGAACAGGACTAAACCAGGACTAAACCAGGACTCTAAACCAGGACTGAAAACTAAACCAGGACTAAACCAGGACTAAACCAGGACTAAACCAGGACTAAACCAGGACTAAACCAGGACTAAACCAGGAGGACTAAACCAGGACTAAACCAGGAACTAAACCAGGACTAAACCAGGACTAAACCAGGACTAAACCAGGACTAAACCAGGGAACCAGGACTAAACCAGAACTAAACCAGGACTAAACCAGGACCAGGACTAAACCAGGATTAAACCAGGACTAAACCAGGACTAAACCAGGACTAAACCAGGACTAAACCAGGACTAAACCAGGACTAAACTAAACCAGGACTAAAACCAGGACTAAACCAGGACTAAACCAGGACTAAACCAGGACTAAACCAGGTCTGAACCAGGACTAAACCAGAACTAAACCAGGACTAAACCAGGACTAAACCAGGACTAAACCAGGACTAAACCAGGACTAAACCAGGACTAAACCAGGACTAAACCAGGACTGAACCAGGACTAAACCAGGACTAAAAGTGGCTGAGTTCATTTCTCGTGTAGTTTTAAAGACTAAACTGGGTCAAATATAAATGAGACAAACACAAAGTGAAGAACTTCAAGTCCCTGAAGAAACGACACCACAGTTTGAGAAACACTGCACTAAGGTGTGAACACCTGTTCTAACACTAGGGTGTGAACAGGTGTAGACACTAGACCAGAGTGTCAAACACACGGCCCGGGGGCCAGATCCGGCCCTCCAACACCTTTAATCTGGCCCTCAGATGATTTTCTACTCAAATATTTAATGATATTTTCTATTAAAATCTTGTTAATTTTCTGTGGTGTTTATCACAGCAGCGTCTCCAGAGTCTCTGTACGTGGCCCCTCCCACCAGAGTCTCTGTACGTGGCCCCTCCCACCAGAGCAGAGCCTCTGTACGTGGCCCCTCCCACCAGAGTCTCTGTACGTTGCCCCTCCCACTAGAGTCTCTGTACGTGGCCCCTCCCACCAGAGCAGAGCCTCTGTACGTGGCCCCTCCCACCAGAGCAGCACAAATGAAGACTTGTCTCTTTCCAAACGTCTTAAAGGACGATGGTTTTGACTGTTGACCGTGACCCTCATCAGAAAAATGTCCAACATGAGAAAAGTGGAGCCGAGTGCAGAATTTTACAACAAAAATGAACTTATTCTGTTTACAGACAAGTTCATGTTCAAACTTTGTGTTGAAATTGTATTTTTCTTCAAGTTTCAGGTTGTTCATAATATTATAATATTTAGTAAAATAAAGAGTTCATCAGTTAAATTAAATAAATATTTAAACTTATTGTTGTTTTTGGGGTTTATTCTTCTGATCCAGACACTTTGGGTCAGAGTTTGTTGTGTTGAGTTTAACTCTCCTGGAGTAAATGTTTTCTGTGATAAAATGTGTAAAAACAGGAGGAGGCGTGTGGTGGTTCGTCCACCAGGGGGCAGCACAGGACCAGAGCTCAGAGCTCGTCTCCTGCAGCTTCAGTCTGAACTCCAGAGGTTTAAACAAACAAAAACACTTTTTTACTCTTTTTTTTAAAGCTTCTACAGTGTCAGATTTTTAAAAAAACCCTCATCAGTCAGGTTTTTCCACACAAACACAAACACTTTTATTTTCTTCGATCTTAGCTTCATTTTTTTAAAGATGCGTTTTTTGTTTTCTGTTTATGTTTGTACAAAGTAATAATATAAAATAAAATAATAATGTTACCGAAGGCACAAAGTTTATCGTTTATGTTCGTACAAAATAAACCACAGTGAGAATGAAAAAATGTTGATGTTAAAGAAAAGTTTGTGTTTTGTTCGTCGTCGTGTTTTTACTCGTGAAGACGATCGATTCTGTTTTTTGATTTGTACGAGTTTCCTGCCAAAACACGACGGGGGAAGAGGCGTTACCTTCAACATCGTGGCTCCTGATTGGCTCTTGAGTCGCTGTGATACTTTACAGTTTTATTTCCAAATCTGAAACTCGGCTCCAGATTCTCCTGTAACCGCAGCCTCCATGAGCTTCATTTGACTGGAGCCAAACTCTGTGGAGACGACAAAGTCAAGAAATGAGAGCCACACGACTGAGGAGCCACAGAGAGTCACAGAGAGCCACAAAGAGCCACAAAGAGCCACAGGGAGCCACAAAGAGCCACAGGGAGCCACAAAGAGCCACAAAGAGCCACAGGGAGCCACAAAGAGCCACAGGGAGCCACAAAGAGCCACAGAGAGTCACAGAGAGCCACAAAGAGCCACAAAGAGCCACAGGGAGCCACAAAGAGCCACAGAGAGTCACAAAGAGCCACAGAGAGTCACAGAGAGCCACAAAGAGCCACAAAGAGCCACAGGGAGCCACAAAGAGCCACAGAGAGTCACAAAGAGCCACAGAGAGTCACAGAGAGCCACAAAGAGCCACAAAGAGCCACAGAGAGCCACAAAGAGCCACAAAGAGCCACAGGGAGCCACAAAGAGCCACAGAGAGTCACAAAGAGCCACAGAGAGTCACAGAGAGCCACAAAGAGCCACAGGGAGCCACAAAGAGCCACAGGAGCATAAATAAATAAAAAAATATATATACATAATTATTTACAAAATGATTTTCTTACACTTCCAGTTTTGTTCAGGTTCAGACATTTTTTCACTCACATCATTTCCAAACTTTTCCATGACTTTTCCATGACTAAAGTGAATTTTCCAGGACTTTCCAGCACCTTCATGTGTAGAACTGATCATAGTTTTAGTGGAAATCTGAAACATGAACTCTTTCCTCTCACCTGCTGGTTTGAGATTCTAGTTTTTGAACAATTTAAATCCTGTCGGTGTTTTTATTTTTCTGTTTTAAACTAAAAACTCAGACGTTCACAAAGAATCAGAACAAACTCATGAAAACTGAACAAACACTGGAGCCGAGGGAAACACACGAAAACTCCAGGACTGTTCCAGGTCTCAAAAATGACATGTTCAATTTCAGTGACTTTTCCAGGATTTCCATGACCGTGGGAACCTGGGTGTTGTTTGTTCAGACGAAGGAAACTGGTTTATGCGACACATTTGACATTTTCACTGTTTTGATCAGAAACATATTTTTATCACGACTCTGGTTTAAAGAGTTTAACACTTTTATTTAGTCACAGCGTCAAAAACAAAAGACGAGGAGGACGGGAGGGCATCTGACACACGGGAGGACGGGAGGGCATCTGACACACGGGAGGACGGGAGGGCATCTGACACACGGGAGGACGGGAGGGCATCTGACACACGGGAGGACGGGAGGGCATCTGACACACAGGAGGACGGGAGGGCATCTGACACACGGGAGGACGGGAGGGCATCTGACACACGGGAGGACGGGAGGGCATCTGACACACAGGAGGACGGGAGGGCATCTGACACACAGGAGGACGGGAGGGCATCTGACACACGGGAGGACGGGAGGGCATCTGACACACAGGAGGACGGGAGGGCATCTGACACACAGGAGGACGGGAGGGCATCTGACACACGGGAAGCAGGAGGTGTGTGATTTGTTTGAGCGTTGGTTCATTTTAGCGTCACTTTTCTGTCCTCCTCCTTTAAACTCAGACGCTCAAAGAAAAACGTCTCCAAAGACAAGGACGAGTTTAGACCGAGTCTAGTCCTGGTTTAGTCCTGGTTTAGTCCTGGTTTAGACCTGGTTTAGTCCTGGTTTAGTCCTGGTTTAGTCCTGGTTTAGTGGTTTAGTCCTGGTTTAGTCCTGGTTTAGACCTGGTTTAGTCCTGGTTTAGTCCTGGTTTAGACCTGGTTTAGTCCTGGTTTAGTCCTGGTTTAGTCCTGGTTTAGACCTGGTTTAGTCCTGGTTTAGTCCTGGTTCTAACCCTAACACAAACACAAACAAACACAAACACAAACAGAAACGACACGATCAGTTTATTTATTTATTCATATTTATGATTATTGATCATGTGACCAGGTCAAACTCAGAGAACAAAATGAAAAAAACTGGGACAAAGTTGTGAGTCAAACTAAATATTTACTGAAACATTTCCACATCATCTGCAGTTTTCTTTTCTTTAAGATGTAATATTAAAACTTTTCTTTTTCAAATAAAAGTTTAATAAAATTTTTATTTAAAGACTGAATCCAGAACAAACAGAAAATAAAATAATAATAACAGTATTTGAAATAAAAATGTCTGTATAATCTCTGTGTCGGCAGCAGCAGCTCTGATACAGATTTAATTTGATCTCATGGGCCAAATATAATTATATCATGGACCAAATTTGGCCCCCGGGCCTGAGTTTGTTCTAGGTTCTGTTCTTTTTCTTCCTGCATGAACGTTTCAAACGTCTCTGTGAGATGAAGAAGTTTTATTGTCGAACTGTAACGTGGGTCTTTTACAGATCTGTAATAGTTCAAAGTGAAGCTCAGAAACATATTTGACCAAAATAAACTTTTGTCCAGTTTTTCTTTTCCTGTAGATTTTGTCTGAACGACTCAGAGATTTTACATGATTCTGTTTTGTTCTGTAAAGTTTCCACATTTACATGATTTAGTTTCATTTGTTGTTGTAAATCGTCTTCCTCACGTGAGGTCGACCTCATCCAGGCTTCAGAGTGTCATGTGACCTTCACATGACCTTCCTGTGACCTTCACGTGACCTTCATGTGACCTTCACGTGACCTTCCTGTGACCTTCACGTGACCTTGTGTCTTCAGCTTATGTCAGAACCAATTCATCTTCATTCATCTGATCTCATCCATGTAAACGAAGAGGAACGACACACGAACCTGTGACACACGATCATCTGCTCCTTCTTCTAATCTTCTCAACCAATCAGAAGCAAACTTAAAGGTCAAAGGTCACATCTTCAGCAGGTTCAGGTTGTTCATAATATTATAATATTATAATATTATAATATTATATATTATAATATTATAATATTTAGTCAAAGAAAAAGTTCATCAATTATATTAAACAAATATTTGAACTTATTGTTATTTTTGGGGTTTATGTGACGTGAGTTTTTTATGATCTTTGGATCAAAATCACTTTGACACGTTTGATTTAGAAAATTTTTGTCTGAAAATTAATACAAATATTTGGGAAAAAAACAAACCTCTGAGGAACCTGTAAATACACAAAGCACCTGGCTCCGCCCCTCTGCCCTTGGCTCCGCCCCTCAGAGTGTTTCTGTGTGGATGTGATGATGACATTTGTGTGAAGAACCTCAACGTTTCTCAAGAGACTGTGTCCCCCTCCTCCTCCTCCTCCACCTCCTCCTCCTCCTCCTCCTCCTCCACCTCCTCCTCCTCCACTCCTCCTCCTCCTCCTCCTCCTCCTCCACCTCCTCCTCCTCCTCCTCCTCCTCCTCCTCCACCTCCTCCTCCTCCTCCACTCCTCCTCCACCTCCTCCTCCACCTCCTCCTCCACCTCCTCCTCCTCCTCTTGCTCCTCATTCTCCTCCACCTCCTCCTCCTCCTCCTCCTCCACCTCCTCCTCCACCTCCTCCTCCACCTCCTCCTCCTCCACCTCCTCCTCCTCCTCCTCCTCCTCCTCCACCTCCTCCTCCACCTCCTCCTCCTCCTCCTCCTCCTCCTCCACTCCTCCTCCTCCTCCTCCTCCCTCCCTCCTCCTCCACCTCCCTCCTCCTCCACCTCCTCCTCCTCCTCCACCTCCTCCTCCACTTCCTCCTCCTCCTCCACCTCCTCCTCCTCCTCCTCCACCTCCTCCTCCCTCCTCCTCCACTCCTCCTCCTCCTCCACTCCTCCTCCTCCTCCTCCTCCTCCTCCACTCCTCCACCTCCTCCTCCTCCTCTCCTCTCTCCATCACCCCCCTCTATCATCCTCTCCACTCCTCCACCTCCTCCCTCGATTCTCTACACCTCCAACACCTTCTCTCCCCCCCTCCTCTCTCTCCTCTCCTCCTCCTGTTTTCCTCCTCTCTCTCCCTTCCTCTCTTTCCTTCTCTCTCCTCCCTCTCTCCTCTCCTCTTTCCGTGAGGTTACACAAATACTCCAGCACGTTCATTTTTCTCCTCTTCTCCGTTCTCTCTCTCCACCCCTCTCCACCTCCTCTCCCCCTCCTCTCCTCTCTCCTTCTCTCCTCCCTCTCTCCTCTCTCCCTCCCTCTCTCTCCTCCCTCTCTCCTCCCTCTCTCCTCTCTCCTCCCTCTCTCCTCCTCCTCTCTCTCCTCCCTCCTCTCTCCTCCTCTTCTCTCTCCTTTCTCTCCTCTCTCCTCCTCTCTCTCCTCCTTCTCTTCTCTCTCTCCTCTCTCCTCCCTCTCTCTCTCTCCTCTCTCCTCCTCTCTCCACCTCTCCTCCCTCTCTTCTCTCTTCTCTCTCTCCTCTCCTCCTCCCTCTCCTCCTCTCTCCCCTCTCTCTCTCCTCTCCTCCTCCCCTCTCTCTCTCTCCTCCTCTCTCCTCTCCTCCCTCTCTCTCTCTCTCCCTCTCTCTCTCTCTCTCCTCTCTCTCTCCTCCTCTCTCCTCCCTCTCTCCTCTCCTCTTTCCGTGAGGTTACACAAATACTCGAGCGTGTTCATTTTTCTCTTTCTGTGGGGGTCAAGTTTGTGGTGACCTCGCCGCGCTCTGATTGGTCGGTAGGCTCTCTCCGGAGCCCGCCTCTCAAGCGGCGCATCGGAGAGAGGCGCGTCCCATGGCAACGGCCCCTCTCCACGCCGACCCCGCCCCCCCCCCCACACCCCCACGCCCCCCACAACGCCCCCCCCCCCCCACGCCGCACACGCCCAGGCCTTGGCCCGCGGGTCGAGAGACTCTCCACCACAGAACGATAAAGAGCTGCTCACCGAGGGAGGGGGGAGAGAGGAGAGGTGATGGAGAGAAGAGAGCAGAGATGAAAGAAAGGAATAGAGAGAGAGAGTGGAGAGAGAGAGAGAGAGAGAGAAGAGAGAGAAGAGAAGAGAGAGAGAAAGAGAAGAGAAGAGAAGAGAGAAGAGAAGAGAAGAGAGAGAGAAGAGAGAGAAGAGAAGAGAAGAGAGGAAGAGAAGAGAAGAGAAGAGAAGAGAAGAGAGAGAGAAGAGAGAGAGAAGAGAGAGAGGAAGAGAGAGAAGAGAAGAGAGAAGAGAGAGAGAGAGAGAGAGAAGAGAAGAGAGAGAAGAGAAGAGAAGAGAGAGAGAAGAGAGAGAGAGAGAAGAGAGAAGAGAGAGAAGAGAGAAGAGAGAGAGAAGAGAGAGAGAGGAGAGAGAGAGAGAGAGAGAGAGGAGAAGAGAGAGAGAGGAGAGAGAGGAGAGAGAGAGAGAGAGAGAGGAGAAGAGAGAGGAGAAAGAGAAGAGAGAGAGGAGAGAGAGAGAAGAGAGAGAGAGAGAAGAGAGGAGAAGAGAGAGAGAGAGAGAAGAGAGGAGAAGAGAGGAGAAGAGAGAGAAGAGAAGAGAAGAGAGAGGAGAAGAGAGAGAGAGAGAAGAAGAGAGAGAGAGAGAGAGAGAGAGAGAGAGAGAGAGAGAGAGAGGAGAAGAGAGGAGAGAGAGGAGAGGAGAGAGAGAGAGAGAGAGAGAGAGAAGAGAGAAGAGAGAGAGAAGAGAGAAGAGAAGAGAAGAGAAGAGAGAAGAGAGAGAGAGAGAAGAGAGAGAAGAGAGAGAGAGGAGAAGAGAAGAGAGATGAAAGAAAGGATAGAGAGGAGTGGAGAGAGAGAGAAGGACAGGTGATGGAGAGAAGAGAGAGAGGAAAGAGAAATGGAGAGAACAGGGTGGAGGAGGGAAGCAGAGAGACAGAGAGAGAATGAGAAGAGGAGATGATGAGAGAGGAGAGAGAGATGGAGAGAGAGGAGGAGTAGAAGAGGAGGACACACCCCCCTGCACACGGCCCCCTGCACACGGCCCCCTGCACACAGAGTAAACACACAGAGGATCAGTTTTAAAACAAACTTCAAAATTCCAGAATAAATGAGGCTGTTTCAGATTTTCATTTACACATTTTATTCATAATATTTTCTGTTTCAGCCTCAAGTCTCCAGATTCCAGCTTTTACTTGGAATTTAACATCAAAAGTTTGAGTTTTACAACAGAATAAAACCGTGTGACGAATCGATTCATCGAAAAACAATCACAGATTAATCGACTGAACAATTATAAAACCACAGACGAGGATCCAGGAGAAATGTCAAAGGTTCAGCTCAAGCAAAAACACATCTTATAGTTTTTTATTTTTAATTTTTTTTTTCCCTCTGATCAGAATCAGCTCCAGCTCATGACTCCATTTTATTTTGTTTATTTTGCTAAATATTAAATTGAATTGTGATATGATGTTATAAATAAATAATAAAAATAAGATGTTAAAGGAAAATCTAACGAGGAAAAAAAAAAAACAAAAAAAACAAAAAAACCTTCAGTGAAGCGGTCTCCATGGAAACAGACAACAGCGCGTGCTCGGCTAACGGCTAACGGCTAACGGCACAAACACAAACACAAAGTGAAACTGAGGTGAAAATGTCGGAGTTTCTCGGTCACAGTTTTGTTTTTAAAAACCCGGAGGAGCTGACGGAGCTGAGACAAACCGCCGCGGACTTTTACCGAGTGAACCGCGTCCCGGAGCATCTGGAGCGGGCCCTGAACGAACTGCTCACCCGCAGACCGAGCGACCTGCACGGATACCTGGTGAGAGAGGCCCGGGGCCGGGGGGAGAGGCCCGGGACCGGGGCCGGGAGGGGAGAGGCCGGGGCCGGGGACGGGGGGAGAGGCGGGCCGGGGGAGAGGCCGGACCGGGGGGGAGAGGCCCGGGGCCGGGGGGGAGAGGCCCGGGGCCGGGGGGGAGAGGCCCCGGGGCCGGGGGGGGAGAGGCCCCGGACCGGGGGGGCCGCCGGGGGGAGAGGCCGGGGCCGGGGAGGCCCGGGGCCGGGGGGGGAGAGGCCCGGGGGCAGGGGGGAGAGGCCCGGGGGCCGGGGGGGAGAGGGTTTTACACGCAATTATTCTGATGTTTAAGGGTTTTACATTTAATACTTTTAATTATAACGTAAAAAAACAAACAGAAAAAACAACAAAAACAATCTAAACACATTTCAAACCCAAAACTTTTCGCCCACCAAAGAGAGAATGTTTTTATTATATGAAAATTAATTTGTGAATGTTTCATTGTGTTTTAATCCATGTTTGAATCAAATGTTTTTAATCTAAATGTATATAAATACTGATGTGCTGCTCATTTAATATCTGTGACTCATGGAAACATCAGTTTTCATGGTCATAAAACACAGTTGTTGTAGTTGGTTTGTTGTGAACTTTCTCCACGTGTCTCATCTGTGAACCACAAAACTAAACTCAAATACAAAGTGACTGGAGCAGATCAGGACCAAACAAACAGAAAATACGTCCAGAACAACACACGACATTAAAACAGCTCCATGTGAGTGAAGTCATGTTTTTGTCCACAGTTTCACGCCGTGTTCTTCATCTGAAGTTTTCCATCACTGGAGACTCAGAGTTTGTGCAGGTTTAGTCGGTGCAGGTACAGTGGGCACCAGAAGATGGCGCTAGTTCACAATTTATTTTTTTTAAAAAGTGCTCCTCACCTTCCACGGTGGTTGTTCTCCCTCCTCCAGCTCGGCTCCTCTACCAGACGTCTGGAGTCTGACAGTTCTCCAGTATCTTTGTTGTTCCTGTTCTGTTCTTTTCTGGACTGAGATGTTTGTTGTTTTTCCTGGATCTGCTGGAGCCTCCTACAGTTTGGAGGTCACAGCCCCAAGTGTCCGATCACCACAGGCTCCACTGATGCCTTCACCTTCCAGACCTTCTCCTGCTAGTTTCTCGTGTTTCTTTTTCCTGATGTTCCATCTCATGGTGTTGTGATGTTCCACCACGGCTCTGCTCTGTTCTTCTCCAGCTCCACTATGTCTGGTTGGTCCATCTCCATCCTGTCCATCTGTATCTGAAGTCCCACAGGATCTTGGCTCGGTCGATCTCCACAACCTTTGGAGGAAGTTTCCCAACACGAAATGTGATTCTTGTTTTAGTTTGTCAGTTCAGAGTTCAGTCTTTTTGTCGATTCTTCTGGACGTGTTTAAAATGTGAACTTTAAACTGAATTCTGATTCCATCTCAAATCTGATCTCAGTGTTGTGTTGTTCCTCAGGCAGAGTTCTTCTCCGCTCTCTCCTGTCCTCCTCGGATCAGCAGAGTCCAGGGTCTGGAGGTCCTGGACTCCAGAGGACAACCTTCAGTACTGGCCCAGGTCTACTGCATCGTCAGGAACCACGAGAAGGTACTGGTTTAGACCTGGTTTAGACCTGGTTTAGACCTGGTTTAGATTTGGTTTAGACCTGGTTTAGACCTGGTTTAGTCCTGGTTTAGTCCTGGTTTAGACCTGGTTTAGTCCTGGTTTAGTCCTGGTTTAGACCTGGTTTAGTCCTGGTTTAGACCTGGTTTAGTCCTGGTTTAGACCTGGTTTAGTCCTGGTTTAGACCTGGTTTAGTCCTGGTTTAGACCTGGTTTAGTCCTGGTTTAGTCCTGGTTTAGACCTGGTTTAGACCTGGTTTAGACCTGGTTCACCTTTGGATCACTATGATATAACTGTGACATTTAAATCTCAGTATTGATCTAAAACGATTTCATAAAGAAACAAAAGTTCTGACTTGAGCGTTAGAAAAGTGTGGAGTCCAGTGGAGCCGACGTCGCTGTGTTTTTAAATGACTTAATTGAAATTATTAATGTCTGGAATTTACACC